TCAAAGCCTCGAGCAGCCGGCGTAGCGGGGCCCTTCTTGGGGCGTGGGGTGTATCACGAGCAACAGCCGACGGCAGCGGTGCACAGCTCGCTCTGTCCCTCCTCCAGCCGGCTGCAGTTAGGGGTTTCGGTGTGCTTTGCAACCTGTTACACTAATAGCAGCAGACAATCGAAGATTTCCAAGGAGACCTGACAGCTGCCAGTTCATGAAATAGAAGTGTAATAGGGGAGCCTTCTTGAGGGTTTTTGTTTTCGTTGTTCTTCCATTAAGACTGGAATCGAGCTTACGTGTAAACTATCAGTAATTTAAGTTTCCTTTTGTGTCATAATGTAAAACTGTCTAATTTGAAAAACAAAAAAAATGTAGGTTATGAAAAATAAAGATTTAGGCACTGTTGAATTCCTGATTTTTTTAATTAAACCTTTCTTCAGCAGTATTTTTCATTACCTTTTGTCTTCTGCTCCCATTTTTGGAAATTGTGTATTTCTGATTTTGGGAAAAAACATCTTTGGTTCCTTTACTGTTGATCACACTTGTAACCGTCACTTGGGGCTGTGTAGCAGCAGCAGGAACACCGGTGTTGGAACTCTGAAGGTAGCAACATCTCTCTGCACTGGGTGACTGACTGGTTAACTGTTTAAAAACCAAACACTACGAGCTGATACAATGTTTTGTTTGCTAATCCTCTTCATTAGTGGTTTCCTCAAAGTATTATGTGTCTTGGCTGTGGATTATCAGGTTTGGGTTAGTGCTCTGGTTGCCTGACTCTTGGGTCTGCATGTGCCCTGGGATTATTTTTGGCTTTGAGTCCTGGTCCTGCCTCCAGGAAAGAGCTGCTGGGTTATCCTCCCTGTGAGTAAAAGGTCCCCTGGAAATAACATGAAACCCTTCTTTTTCCCATGTTTGTTTCTCATTCAGCTTGGTCTGACCAAGTTTACCAGCAGGTGCAAGCGTGGAAGCATTAACACCTGCTGTGTTTTGTTAGCATCTGGGGAGGTACTGCAGTATTACTCTTCGGGCCGGATGCCCTGTGAGCTTTTGGACAGGTTATGGGTGCTTGCTGCTCCATTTCCCCCTGGCCGCCTGCTCAGCGGAGTAGGGCAGCGCAGGCATGCCCGTGTACACGGAGCACCACAGGTTTCTCCTCCTTGGAAAGGCTTGGTGTGCCATGCGTGGTGGTGTGGACTATGGGTAGTTGAGGGTGACCGGTTGTCAGTGTGGAGCATCCTGTTCTGCCCTTGGAACTTGTTTTCTATTACTGACCATGGAAACCTGTCAGCAGAGTTGCTGTAATGCGAGCGCAGCTCTTCGGGGTCACCCCAGCTTTGGCAGGAACAGAACTGGGCAGTGTCCCCTTTGCGGTACGGGGTGATGTTGGATGATGGCTGCAGCAATGCTCCTGTGGAACAAACCGCTTTGGTTCTTCTTGGGCATGAGGGGAAAGTGTGAATATCATAGAATCACAGAATGGTTTGGGTTGGAAGGGACCTTAAAGCCCATCTAGTTCCACCCCCCCTGCCATGGGCAGGGACACCTTCCACTAGACCAGGTTGCTCAAAGCCTCATCCAGCCTGGCCTTGAACACTTCCAGGGATGGGGCATCCACAGCTTCTCTGGGCAATCTGCCAGTGCCTCACCACCCTCTCCGTGAAAAATTTTTTCCTGATATCTAATCTAAACCTCCCCACTTTCAATTTAAACCCATTACCCCTCGTCCTATGGAATATGGAAGGCTACGTGCAGTTGGGTACCCGGTGATTACTTGCTGTCACAGAAACTGTGACTCACTGCATTTTGATCCTACGGCAGCTTTAGAAAAAAGGATGTTATGAAATTGTTTTCTGATTATGTTTCTACTTCACAAATCTCAAAACCTCCTATCAATTATCATGGCTCAGCTTTTATGAGTGCAACTGCTGAAGTCAGGGAAGCTGAACTCCGAATTTTGCT